AGGGTTTGGCACAACTCCAGTCCGTTCTTCAGCATTTGTTGAAGCGCGCAAGCCACGATAATTAAAGGAAGACAAGCTGGCGCAGCGCCAAAACTTGACCCTGACACGTGCGCTGCGAAAACGACTGTACATGCAGGCAGGGTACAGCATCGTTGTGTGAACTACATAGGGGGGTCGCACTTTTCGGCTGGGGAGGGGGGTCGTATTTAGTCGTTGTGGGGAGAGGGGTCATATGCGGCATTGACAGGGTTGCAAAACATTTTTTCCCGGTTGTTGACTTTTCACGTGATTATTGTTCCTGTTTCATGTGTAATATATAGCCCCTCCCTCGCTCGACGGAGATTTTCTGACCGGGCTTCTGGAAAATGTGGAACATTGGTAGGTAGGTGCTGAGGAAGGGGGGGGGGGTGACGTACCGAGACCATGATTCAGGTGGGGGCATACCAAGACCCTCCCTCGGGGGAGGGGGTCGTACTGGCACCACCATTTCACACATCACGATGCTGTACCCTGCATGCAGGCACGAAACGAAAAAATCAAAATTAAAAATATTTCGTCTGGCCAAGTGCAGAGTTCAGATTATATTATGGCATGGCGCATCCCAAAGGGACTGATCATCGGCAACCTCTTACCACTTCAATTACACTTTCAAAAATCCAAATGAGAATAAATTAAACAAGGATCCTCAATAATTGGAATTCTCTGGTGCATAAGCATTAACCTTTCTTCTTTCAGATTATCACTATTTTCAGAATGGAATTCCAAAATGCTTCAAATTAGTTCAAGTGCCCTTGTTCAAAAGCTCATTCTATTTTTGGGAGTAGCAGGGTCGCTTTCCATGAAAGTATGCCATTTCTTTGTGGCGCGAGTGAACTCAAGGATGCAAAGAATTGCCAGAGAGACGAAATGACCCCTTCTCAGTTGACGTCACTTGGCAAGAATGACTTACGAGGGGTCCTCTCAGAGCACTTTATCGCAAAGATTTCCCCTACATGCGTCGAGCGGGGGAGGCGAGGAGGGGTGGGCAGGCTTCCGCTACCCTCAGACCTCAGCTATCCGAAATAGTCAACAGGAAGTTAATCAATTTTCGAAAAAAGTCCACCTCGTGAAACATGAGCAACCGAAAAAAACCAGAGTGCGACCTCATCCCCCTTTGCCCTACACTCGTCAAGGAATTTGTAATCACAATAACAAAAGCTCGGCGGCGGCGATACGAGCCGTAGTTTTTTTTGAATGCACTTGTTTTTCTTTTCTAGTTCAGCGATTACTTTCCCCGCATTCCAGAGCGCCCACTCATAGAACAAATACACTCCATATCTCGGGGCGAGAAAAGGCGTAGCTGTGAGCGCAAGCGCAGACTGCGAGAGTCCAGACGGAAGCGTGGCAGAGACGCATTTGTAAGAGAGGTGTGTTAGAACGAGACGATCTCCTCGAAACGCCCTACCACGCCCTGTCCTTTCATGTCCCTGTCCT